TTCCTGCCATGATGATAATGGACTAAACCTCTAACCTGTAAGCCAGCCTCAGTGAAATGTTTTCCTTTTAAAGAGTTGCCGTGGTCATGGTGTCTCTTCATAGCAATGAAACCCTAACAGACAACTACCTCACCCACCAACCCGCCAGGTGGCACATGGCTTCAAGTCTTTTATACTCAGGGTTTGCTGGGTGGCCATTGCTCATCTAGAGGTGCTGAGTGTCAGTCCACCCTGACTGAACTGCACTGGAGCAATGAAGAACCTCCACATATACTAAAAATCAATATAAAACCTCACTACATGGGCGACGAGAGTTTCTATCAAGGAGGGATGAGGAGTTGCAGCGGCCCTCCTACGCTTCCGCCTCTGCCTGAGATGACTTGGGCTCCCTGAGACATACTCAGGGTCCTACCTGCCTTGAGTCTTCAGTCCCAGTGGGGTGAGCATGGCAAGAGACATGAGGATGGCAGAGAATGCCAGGCACATTCTCCCCCTTGGCCTTCTCCTGAGGCCCAAGAACCACCACAATGACACGGTCTCGGGAAGTGAGTGCTTTCCCCATTTCTATTATGAAGGCTCTCGAGGCATTTATTGTAGCCATATCATACTTATCAAGTCAAATTGAGATGGGTGTTGAAGAAGCCATAAGCAGGAGGGAGGAGCCCTGCATTTATGCTCAGTGGTGCTGCTGGCTGGCCAGTGACCCATGTGAGTCTGCCCTGCAGTGCGACTGGGTGCTGGGTGAGCTGATGACGGAAGCTGTTTATGAACAGCTCTATCTCTTCCTACATAGGTCTTGTGCTGGCAGGGGCAGCTCAGTGAGCAGAGCTTCAGATAGCGCATCTTCCTCTGCGGCAGCCCTCTATTACGTTAAGATTGGAATGGGAAGCTTCAGTGACCTCGGAGCTCTGACTGGTTCTCACTGGGAGGTGCCTATCTTAGTTACTTTTCTGTCCCATTGATAAAACACCATGACCAATGCAACTTAGAAAAGAAAGTGGGTGATCTCAGAGTGTTAGGGTCCATGATGCAAAGGGACAGCTGAGAGGGTACATCTTGATCCACGGCTGTGAGACTGATCCAGAGCACTGGGAATCACACCGGTCTTCTGAAACCTCAAAGCCTAACCCCAGTGACACACCTTCTACAACAAACCCACACCTCTGAATCCTCTGCAAAGAGCTCTACCAACTGAGGACTGAGTACTCAAACATATGAGCCACTGGGGGAATTCCCATTCAAAGCACGCAGTTCCTCCTGGCTTCCTTGGAAGCTCTTGCAGAAGCCACTCATAGTCCTTAAAATCTCACCAGGGGATGGGAGGACTGGAGCTGGCATCCACCCTCTGTGAGAATGGACCCTCCAGAGGCACCAGGACCACTGTAGGTCAAGATCTTTAGAGAAAGAAGGTCAGGAGGTAGTTGGTGGCTTTATAGTTTTTTGAATTTTTGGTTGAACTCAACCATTCTTTTTTTTTTTTTTTTTTTAACTCAACTATTCTTATGCTTGAGGAACTGGTCTCATTAAAGTCCATGGCCACTATAGTGACACCACAGCCTTGGACTCAGATAGCAGCGTGTATCTTTTCACATTCTGAGATCTAATCTTCATCAGGGGTACTTTCTTCTGACCTTCTCCCCATGGGAATGGCTACTCCCTCTGTGTCTTCACATAGTCTTGTGAACCCCGGAAATCCCTCCTCTTTCTCTTTTTATAGGCATGTGTCATGACACCAGCACTTTTCTCTCTTTACGGAGGTGTACTGGATAAGGGGCCACTCAAATCTTAATCTCTTTGAAGAGCTGTATATATACAGTTACATTCTGATACACTTCAACAGATGTTGAAGATGTTAATATCTGAACTTCAGGAAAACACTGCTTACCCTATAATCCCCGTACAATAAACACCAGTCCTCTGGAGAGTCATCCACCTCTCCACTTCACAGGGACGGAGAAGCTGACCTATGCTCCTGACAGGGATTAGTCCCCACAGGACCTAGCAGCCCAGAGCATCTTGCCACGTGATGAGGAAATCCTCAGCCTTCGGTCATCCTCGAGGGGCCTGGGACCCTCCAGACCGTTATCACTGTCCCTGCTTGCCCATTGTGCACGCCTTCTCTGACAACACACAGGTCCCTATGGCAGCATCTTGCTGTCTGGTAAGACTCTATGATCCTGGATCTGTGTCCCTGCTTCCTTCCCTAGACCTAACCACATGCTTAGACAAGGAGGACCTAGAAACTTGTCCTTGGGCACTCTGGAAGCCCCAGGTGGAGGACTGCATGTTTGGCATTATAGGTACAAACACTTGCAGTGTAGGTTACCATGAGCTGGCCTTTGTCTCCTGTGGTTGGTTGGTGCCAGGCTTGCTGTGAGGGCCGCTGCACTGTCCTGCAACCACTGGCCTTCTCTGCTAGGTCAGTAGCATTCCACAGCAGATGATCATCTCTGTCCCTGCTGCTTTTGTCCCTGCGTAGCGCCTACCTCTGCATCATGACTGACTGCCAAGGCCAGTTCCAATCATTCCATCTTTGTCTACCTGCTCTTCCCTCTGGGCTATTATACTGAATGCTTGTCACCTGTCTTCCTTGAACCATGGCTTGCTGGGGTTTCTTCCCCTATAAAGTACAGAGAAGTATAAGGAGGGATGCTGAGATCTGGTGCTTGGTATGTGTTCATGGGACTGACTCTTGTCCCTGCATCACAAGATATAGGATCTCAGGTAATGTGTGGGACAGAGAACAGAGGCCCTTCTACCAGTTCTGCATAGATCAGCAGCTGCTCTCCCAGGACAGGGTGTGGGTGGCACAGGGGATAGACTAGTGAGGCAGGAACTCCTTCATCTGAAGCTTCTGCAGTCTCATTATAGCCGAACATGTTTTAAAATATTACACAGAAAATTCCAGAAATAAACAATTCACAAGTTGCAATTATGCACTTCTCTGAATTGTGCAAAGAAACACCTCTCATGCATGTGACCCATCTTTTTGTGCAGCAAGCTCACATAGTAGATTCTGTCTTTAGCTGTCTGCTGTCAGTAGCTGCCTGGGCTGTCAGCCTGACTATCAGGGATCTCTGTGCCTGTGCTCACCTTCCCTTATCGAAGGACTTGTAAGTACAAAGCAGCAATGATGGAACTGAGGCCAGCAAGGAGAATCTAGGAAGTACTTCCTTGAAGCAGAAAAGGGAAAGTTTTCAACTTAACAAGGAAAGAAAAAAAAATTAACCATATGCCTGTTACTAAGGTCCAAAGCCACAGTGAATCTATGTGTGGAGGAAGAAGATATCTGTGTTAATTTTGCTGCCGTGTCTGAAGCTGCTGAAGTCCTACCCATAGCACTGGGGAGTGACTGCAGTGGGGAAGGCCATACACAGGGACACTGTACTCTGGCTTTGGGCTATCCTTGATGCCAGCTATGTACAAGCATCTCTGCAGTGTCTCCTCTGGGTGATGGCAGAGCCACTACTGGTAAATGCTTATCCTCTGTAGAGTCCATATCCTCTCTAGGGCTCTAGCCTGGCCTATGATGACTGGGAGGGGGGAGTGTGAAGTTCTGGGCACACAGTGGCTTTAGAGGCAGGACTCACAGGGACTCTGGGAGGACCTAGAGAGCCACAGAAGCCAAGAGTTATCTGCACTTGTTCTGGGGCCAGAACCCAGACTTTGGAAAAAATTTGTCCCCTGAGGTGAAACACCTCAGCTCTGCCACTTCCTCTTCCTCTTCCCTAGAGGGAGGCAGCAACAGTGCCTTCCACAGCTATCCTTTCACTGGAGAGAGCTTCACAGTCACCATGGAGGCATCTGGAGGCACCTAAGAATATGAACTCGGTGTATGCTGACCTCAGGGACTCTTGCTGATGAGAAGGCCCAGACCTGGGCCTGGGCCCAGACCGAGACTTCTTTTGCCCTGCAAGGGCCACAGTGTGAAGGGTGGAGGCTGTCATGCGCATATGGGTTCAGCAACTTGGAAAGCTGAAGCAGGGGGATCACTTGAGTTTGGGTTTGGAGGCCATCCTAGACAACAGGGGAAGACCTCAGCTCAGACCAGGCCAAAAAAGGAGCAACGCAAAACCCTAGGAAAGGAGGCAGGCACCGCTGGGAGCAGAGGACAAGGGGAAATCACGGTTCCTCCCAGGCTTTAACGATGAAAGGATCTCTTGGTGGTCAGCAGCAGTGAGTGTGCGATGAGGAAGAGTGGTGAACAGTCTGTTATCCTGGCTGCCTGGATATTTCTGGCTACACTGGCATGTGAGCTGGGGTTTGGTTTGGCTTCTGGGGAGGAAACTAGCGATCTTGCCACTGTCTGGATTCAGATTCCATTCCACAAACTTGCTGACTCTCTGACTGAGCACCAGGCAGGAACAGATGTGGAAGGGTGCATTATAAGGGCTGGAGGAGGTAGGGCCCTGGATGTTTGTCTGTCTCCTCCCTTGCCAGCTGTCCACAGGAAGGGGCAGGGTGCAGAGGCTCTCATATTCTCAGTATAAAGGGTAAGGATGGAAATCCCCAGCTTCTTGCTTGTGGAAGCCCTTGACTTAGTTTCCTAGAACCATATCTAACCATATCTAAAACTGTCTCCTTCAGTGTCTTGGGGGGTCGGTGGTAGATCTTAGTCTGTACTGAAAATGAGAATGGCGATAAAAAACAATCCTTGTCCTTTCCATTCAGACACTCACACACCTATCATAGTTATCATAAGAGAGCAAACGAGAAGGACCCTCTGCTGGCAGTGACGGCACCCTGACTATAAAATTTACACATGCTTGTGACAGAATCCTAAAGCCAAGTACAGGCAGTGGCATCACTCATTTCCAAAGTGGTTTAGACGGACTGTTATCTCTAAGCCACCTGTACCCCTACTGAGCATGGCTATGCGGAGACCATGGCTGCTCCCTGTGTTTGCATGTGCTCTAGTTGTCCACACACAGCACATCTCCAGTACCTCCTCCACCCCTCCACACCACCTTACCCGACTCTGTCCCAGGAGCTGGACAAACCTTGTTCTCTCTGTTGGTCTCTCTGTTCCATGGACACAAGGGCCGAGAAGTGCGCTTGGTCGTAGGCCAGAACCAGGGGTGAGCAGTGGCACCTGTTGGGAGGCACCTCCAAGGGCAGGTAGATCCCTCCAAATGGGATGGGTGCAAATGCTATGGACACAGACATAGGGGTGGAGGCCAAGAGTGGGGTGGGGAGTACCGAAGGGAGGGGAGGGTAAATGGTGGGGGGAGAGGGGATGGGGGAGCGGAATTAGTGCTCATGGCCAGGACTGAAGGTTTCCATGGTGATCTGTCTGGGTAGCCTGCTCCTGAGAGCCACACCATAGTCAAAAGAGTGGTAGGCTCAGGGCTAAGACCATTGCCCAAGACGGTCAGTGATGCCATTTATTAGCTTGTCTAGAAGTCCCTGCTGTCCTTTCTCTTCTGATATCACTGAAATGCCCACACGCCAGGCAGGACCTATACTTCCTGAGTGTGCCTGGTATATATTTTGAAAACAACTTCTGTGGAAAAGGAAATGCCAAGTCAGAGAGCTCTGTTCTGAGCTGTGAATTAGGTAGTACATTAGAGGTGGAGCCTCTATTTTTGTGTGATTAGATGCCATCTTGTTCATTTTCTTATGAGGAACAAGGAAAGAGAAGCCTGAAAACCACTTCTGTGAACACATGCCTGAAACAGTAGCTTTTTCTTTTCTTTAATTTCACTGAGACAGTGTCTCATGTAGCCCTGATTCACTGTGTAGCTGAGGATGACCTTGAACTTCCAGTTCTCTTGTCTTGGCCTCCATGAGTGCTAGAATTACAGGCATGTGCCACCAAGCCTATTTTATGTTGTGCTGGAATGGAACCCAGGGCTTCATGCATGTTAGTCAAGTAGTCTACCCAGGAAGCCACACCTTCAGCCTAGCAGCTGAGTTTTGATCATGAAGAATATTGCCTTTGGCCTCAGAGTGGGAATTACCCCCTCCTTGCTGCAGAGCACAGGACTTTTAGAACAGTCTCTGAGGATCTCCTAGTTTGTCCCCCTCCTTCACCCAGTCTGCCCACACAAGAATCCTGCTTTGAGGGAGTGGCAAGGAGAAGGAAGCATGGACAGGCTGCAGAGGGCTGCTGGCTCTGGTACGGGGCAGCAGGGAAGAGAATGGTGCTAGACAGGATGCATGTTCTGCTAGCCCCTGCCCCCAGAGCAGCCAGGGCCATGCTGGTCTTTTTATGGCATGAAAACTGATGCTTGATTGGCAGTGTTCCGGGAGAGCCAGGGCTTCTGCTTTGGGATAGATTTAAATTTAAGTGGAGCAGGGTGAAATGTCACAGGGTCACTTGTTGACTGGCATGCTGTAGTCAGATGTGTGGACAGTGTCATCTTTAGAAGTAAAGTTGCAGCAAGCAGAAAGTGGGTTGCACTAGTGCTAAGAAGGAGACTGGATAAGGAACCACGCTGGGGAAAGTGCTGGGAGTGGGTCTGCTGAGTGGGACAGCAGCTGGGGACAGTTTTCCTGACTCTCCCCCCTTTCTGAATCTTCAGAGCATGGCTAGCCCTGTGGAGTCTCAGGCATTCTCACCACAGTCCTTTTGACTCCCAGAAGCTTCAGGCCATGTGAACTATACACTCTGTCTAGGGCTGAACCTGGCCATACTGGGCATCAGTGTACTTTCCTCTCTAGGGAAGGTTGTGTGAAGGGCTGAGGGAGGGGACATTCAAGGAGAAGTCCTGCACAGGTCAGGGTCTCAGTGGACAGACAACAGCAGCTCGGCTATCCCTCTAGATTCATGACTAGCCAGAGCCTCGGTGTTCTGCCTTCCTTCCTTTCCTCTCTAACACTATCCTGAAGAGCCACCGGAACAGGGCCCAGGGGCTTTTGGAGGGATCTGTGCTGTCTGTGGAACTTGGCCAGATGTCTCATGGCCACCTGCTGGTGTCATGCCGGACAAGTGGCCAAGAGCATCGCTGTTTCCCCAAGGAAGAAGAAACATATGAAATAATGCTGTCTTTGTGTCTGTCTCAGAGGCCAAGACGACTCCACCTATGTGTGGGTAGGTGCCACCCTTGCTGGGCCACCATTGAAGATGGTTCCTTGAGGATCCTACCTTCTCCACCGGAGTCCCTTAGCATGGTGTCTGCCACCACCACGATGGGTCTCCGTAGTATGTGGGCTAGGACGAAGACATGGAATTCTTCCAGGCTTTCATACACAGGGTCCTCAGCGTTGTCCACACTAGGCAACAAAACAGAGCAGGTTTGTCATGAGACTATACTGGGGTGGGGACAGAAAAGTCAGGGAAGGCTCTGAGCAGGGATTGAGCACCCCCAAATACTCCCTACCTAACAGGCTCTGAGGACCCTTCTAGGAACAGTTCTCGGGGAGAGGTCATGAGAAGACTGGCTGAATTCTACCCTGCGGGCAGGAGAAGGTTGAATGTAGAGCCTCACACTTACACCCTTCCCAGCTTGGATCCAAGCTCCTGCCTAGCATTAGGGGAGAGTGGACTCCAAGAATCGCTGTCATCCAGGCTAGGAGACACTGGGGCAGGAGACTGTGACCGAGATGTCCCTCCGCAACAAGGGGAGAGAGCTGGAGCTCTTAGATGATGGGACCTTGTGTAAGCCTACTACACGTGACGACAGTGTGTAGCAGGAGGTGATAAATTCCATGGCTTTCAGGATCCTTGGGCTCCAGGAATCAGCTCCTTGCAGGCATCATAGGAGCAGGGATGGCTGTGAGGCTGGGACGGCTGGGAAAGAGCTCCAAATGCAGAGTGCCAGGCTGACTGCCTTGATCACTCCTAGAACCAAGGCTGTAAATCCTTGATTTAGGTGTATTAAGAAATATACCTTTTGGAGGAGATCTGATGTTATATTATTTCCTTTTTGCTTTTCTCTTTCTCTCTCTCTCTCTCTCCCTCCTTTTCTCCCTCCCTCCCCCCCCCCCCCCCCCCCCCCCCCCCCCTCCCTCCCCCCCTCCCCCCCCCCCTCTCTTCCTGTTTTGCTGTTTTCTTTGGTGGCCAATGAGGCCGTGGTCTGAAATCACAAAAAGTCACAGAACCACCTGGAAGTTATTCTGCAGCCTGCCACCTCTGTCTGAGAGGAGTAAGAGTGCCTCTTGTTTACAGGGCCACATCTGACATACCGGGACATGGCCATCAAAAGAAGAGCTATCGTCTAGTCACCAGGCCTGCTCAGAGTGGTCCCAGCAACACCTTTAGGATGCAGGATCCAGCTCAGGGTCAGAGATGCTTCCTGCTGAGTCCCCCCCCCCCGGTCTCCCTTAGCCTGAAATACTGCTCAGTATTTCCACAATCGTAGCACTTCTGAGACATAAGCATTGGGCAGGTGGAACTTTCTCATCTGGGTCTCTACACTGCCTCATCCTGATGTTAGAATAGGATCTGGACTTCCTCTCACATGGTGTGATATGCAGGTTGTCCTGCTATGGTAGTATGGCCTTGGTCATGTTTAGCTCTTTGTCCACACCCACACAGAGATGCTCAGGTTACTGATGCAATCCATGAGTGCTCAGAACCTCTGCACATTCCTTCCCTATCCCTATTGCTGGTAGCACTGTGGACTTCTGGTTTTAAACCTTTACTAAATGAGTTATAATCCATTTGTGATGTTGTGATGCTCAAATACACTTTAATTTGGTCATTGTTGCTTATTTCAGTTTGGTCTGTGTCCTTATGACATCTCCCTGTCATTCTTTCAGATCATTTCCTTATTTCTTGGCACAAGAAGATGGACAGAATTCACATGTACACATTACCATCTTCTCTGTGTGCCTGTCAATCATCTACCACATCTGCAATGGGACATGCCAAGTTCACTAGTACTTCCATCTCCAGTCCAATTCTGACAAAGTTCATCCAACTTATAACTTCTTCCTCTGCAGTGGGAAACTTCCTGGAACAATCTCACCACTCTTACTCATCAGATCTGTCTCCTGGCCTGTAGGCAGGCTCCCATCTCTGCTGCCATCCACAACACCTAGGTTTTCCTCTCTACTCTGTTTGGCCCTGGCACTTGGTACAGTCCTTCTGTGTTCTCTTATTCTCCACCCACTGCAGACGTCCTTCCCTGCTTTGTCCACCTAACTGCTTGAAGGGAGAGTGTTTTAGGAAAGAGAGTGGAAGAATGTTTGAAACATGTATTGCTTTAAATAAATAGTTCTGGCTGGAGAGATGGCTCAGTGGATACGGTGTTTGTGCAAGCATGAGCATCACAGTCAGGATGCGCAGACCCCAGGCAAAAAAGCAGGCAGGTATGGCAGCTGCCTGCAATCCCAGCACTTGTGATACAGAGGCGGGATTCCCAGGGCTAGCTGGGAATTGGTAAGTTGCTGGTGCTGCAAGAGAACTTACCTCAATAAATAAAGAAGTGGGCAAGCAAGGAAGACACCGCATATTTACTTTGGCCTTTGCATCCATGTGCCTGTACACGTCACAATGTACTCACACCTTCCCCTCGAACAAACCATTACAAGTTACCATTACAGATGTGGATCTGTAATTTCCACATCTGAAGTTTCAAACAACTGAGATGAAAAGCACTAGAAGAATTGTATTCACTTTTTTCTTATTCCCTAAATAATACAATACTTTTTTTTTCTTCAGCAGGGCCCTGTTTCAGGTAATTTGTTATAGCCATAGAAAACAGACTATTCTACTTATTGTTATTACTCTTTCTTCCCCCTGTGATTCCCCAGAATAGATTCTGTCCTCCAGCAGCTGCCTGACATTTTTCTTCTCCCTGGCAGGTGTGGGAAATCCAATAGTGAATGAGACACTGGACTAGAAGGAACATTCAGAACGTGGAGGGTATGGAACAGATAGGACCTAAGTTTTCAGGAACGGAATCTTCAAACGTTCAAATACTCCTGTTTGGACTGTTGGTGCTGATGTGCCGTCTCATTAAAACAAAGCAACAAGCAACCTATGGAATTGTGGGTTTCTGCATTGAAGAGCCTCAGGTAGGAACACGGTTCCGGATGGTGCCACTGTGAGCACTTTTGTAACTTGTCCTCCAGCTGGAACCTCAGCAGTGCTAGGCCCAGTGGGCACCAGGCCCACTGTGGTAGGGTGTTGAGAGCCCAGAGGCTGCCTCGGCCTGTGAACCTGAGGTTGGCTAGGAAACATGCATGTCTGTGTTCTTGCTGTGGCAGAGACCTTTTCTGAGGTGATGCCTTTCCAGCAGGACAAAAAAGCAAAAAATCGAAGCATGCACCTTCTGAAATTGCATGGCCAAATGTTCCACAGTGCTGCTGTTTGTCTGGGCTGCTCTTTATCTCCGCAGTGGAACATTGGAGCTGACTTGCAGGATAAGCTATTCCTTGAATGCACACAGTGGGCAAGGCCTTTGAGTTAGGAACGCTCACTATATGCGTGAAATCCATCTGGGAAGCTCTGTGGTAGTCTCATGATCTCTTGCTTCCTTTGTAACTTGAAACCATAAACTAAACAGATTAGGGAAAAACAAACCTCACAAACAGCAGCTGGTGCCTTCATAGCCCCAAGTATGCAATGACAGCTGTGGCAATGATTCATGGTCACAGGCCACCTCCAGGCCTGGCTATGCCCTGAGTCCTCTACCTCCTACTGTTTGCTTTGTATGATGAGCCTGAGGGAGACCAGGCCGGGCAGCTCCCATGAGATCATGTGTAGCGAGCCTGGGTACATGTGCCCACTCTGCCCTCCCATGTGGCCTAATTTACAACAAATACTCCCTGTCTTGTGCTACCTGGCAAGCATATAGAGTCACCTCCCTTCATCCCCAAGCTCTTTGAGGCCCTGGGTGGCCAGGGGTTCTGGAAGACCCGTACAGAGCAGGGCAGCACTCACCCACCACCTGTGCCGCTGCCGTTCTTGCTGAAGTGTGTTCGAGGCTCGCTGGAGGCCAGTTTTAGCAGCTCTGTCCACTCCCGCTCCCACTCCTCCTCGGTGTACACCAGCCCTGACTGGCGCGAAGGGAAGCTGGTTCAGGAGGCCGCCTCTGTCATCTGCCCGCACCTCCTCCCCCCGCAAAGGCAGCGTACCAAGCCACCCAGGCTGGCCTAAGCCCCACCAGGACCCAGACTGGACACATCTGCTAGTGTTTCCGTATGTATTTTCAGAAATTCCAGCCCCTGGTTTTGGAGCTGTTGGGTGTCCTCCAGTCGTCAAGGTCATTCCCTGGTGTGTGTGAGAATGAATAAACCTGGCTGCGGCTGACCAACAAATAGTTTAAAGGGCCATCACACCATTTTACCCCAAATCTAGGTGGATTCTTCTCCCAGTGGAGTGAAGTGCTAATGTCACCATGGCTAGGGGCTGCTGAGATTTTCTCTGGATTGAGGGAGCCACGAGCTTCACAGTACAGCACATGACTGTGTAATTCATTATCCATGCTGGGGCCGCTTTCCTAACGACACCCGCATAGGAACGCAGGAACGTTCCTGAGTTGCTGTCCACCTGGGCTGTGCTGGTCTAAGGGCTCCTCTGGACTCTAGCACAGCTTGAGGCAGAACCTGATGCAGACCCTGACTTCAGCAGTGGCGGCTACCAACCTCCTTGTTCTGTTGTGTCTGCTGCCACCTCCACCTCCGCTTCAGGGCTTCCCGCTCAGCACCAGTCCTCATCATGGTGTAGAGAGCTTTCCGCAGAACCAGGTCCCGGTCATGAAAGCCCCACATTCCTGCAGCCAGGAGGCCATGACGGGGCAGAGGAGGAAGGGACATGAGGAAGAGATGAGCCAGAGGACACTCAAAGGGACACAGCCCAGCAGGATGACCTCCTACATGGGTGCAAGGGACTAATGTATCAGGAAACTGCTTCGTCTCATCGAGGCTCGTAGCCCTCCTCCCACCCCGTGCTGCCATGTGTGCTTCCCATCAGCTCAGACGCAGGAATGAAGTGGTACTTCCTCTGCTGACGGCAGGTAAAGGTTAAGTGTTGCCTGTCTCTGGGACCTAAGGCTATCTACCTTCTCTTGCCAGAAGAGGGCGCCAGATCTCCCGGAGCTGGGATTAAATTGGTTGTAAGTCTCTCAATGTAGGTTCTAGAAACCAAACTCTGGCTCTCGACTAAGCTATTTTTATAGCCCTAGTGTTTCTATGTGTGACCAATAGTCCTTTCAGTGTCAGGCCTGGTCAGCAGGTGTTCCCCATGGTATTGGTCCTGTCATATGGATGCTTTGGGTAGCCCTGGATGTAGGGAGTTTTGCTGTGTCAGGGCAAAATGGAAAGCCAGGCCAGGCTGAGTACCACTTTTCTAAAATGCCTGGAGTCAGGAGAGCTTTTGATTTTGTATGTTGACAGATTTAGAAACCTTGGGGATAGAATGCAAGCTTAAATATAAAAGTTCATTGCTATTGCCTATGCAATTTGTAATTTCTGTTATTTTTTTAAAGTGATTTTGTGCATGAAACGAAGGTTTATGTTGTGGAATTTTCCACTTAAGGTGTCATATTGATTCTCCAAAGAGTTTCGGATTTTGGATTTTCAGATTAGGGGTACACAACCTGTCTTGGAATGAAGGACCTGTGGGTTCCAGGGACTCTGTTTTGTAGGGGATTGTTATAAGGCCTGTGGCGTTGGCCAGCTATAGTCTGGCCTCTTCTGCAGATGGAGCAAGACTGGACAAAGGCCTCAGAGGACCACCATGCTCATAGAGCTAAGGTGTTGGTGAGGCAGGAGGCTCTGGAACCCGAGGTATCTGAAGGACAAGACATCTCCATGCCGTAGCCTTAGCAACAAGGTTGCAAAGAGACTTCTAGAAGAGAGTGCCTCTTTTACCATCTGTTTTCCAGGTTTTACATGAATAAAGTGAAAAGCACTAGGGAAACAGTTAGTATTGAGCATTCTAATAAATAAGACCCATTGACCAAATCACATTCTTGGAGAAGAAAGATGTAGGAAATTCTCATGAATTTTAAGATGGCCACATCCATAAATATGCACAATTACTACCTGTCAATTAAAAATGAAAGGACATGTTGAAAACTGAAGTAGACAATGCTGGATTTGGAAGTGAACGTGGTGGACCTATAACTTCATGTGCAGGAAAAGCAAAGCACTGTGGGATAATGTGGACCAGGGCTGACAGTGGCCCGCACGGGGTGGGGCGGGGCCGGCTGTACAGTGATGCTGGTTTTCTCACGGGGCAGTCACGCCACTCACAGGATGAATTCTTTCTTTTTCCTTCCTTCTTCTTTCAACTTCGTCATAGTCTTTTTTTTTTTTCTTTTGTGGTGGAAAACCTCAGAAGTATGTAACTGATAGTACAAGGGTAAAACCTTACACAGAAGCTTACTGAGACAAAAAGAGTTTGCGATGCAGATTTGAGTAGCTGCCTTAATCTAACTATGTGATTTCTCTCCCCCCGCCCCTTTTGCTTTTTTGAGACAGGGACTCACTTTGCAGACCAGGCTGGCCTCAGACTCACAAAGATCCACCTGCCTCTGCCTCCTGAGTGTTGGGATTAAAGGTATGTGCCACTGTGCCTGGCTGTTGTGTGATTTTTTAAAAAACATGTTTTTGTTTGTGAGCTCATTTCAATAAAGTGTTTAATATTTTTTAAAAAGCAGAATGTTTCTTGTTTGAGTTTTAATAATAAATTTTATGTAGTTAAACATATGAAAACAACAATTAAGATTATAATCATTAAGACTATGAGCTGGTGAGATAGCTTAGCAGAAAAGAACACTTGCTGCTCTTCCAGAGGTCCTGAGCTCACTCATGGTGGCTCATGACCATCTATAAAGGGATCTGATGCCCTCTACTGGCATGTAGGTATACATGTAGACAGAGCACTCCTACATTTAAAATATACATAAAAATACATTAAAAAGAATAAATATTTTATGTAGTGTTTTCCACAGGATGTCTTCAAAGTTTAGGTGTATTTGAGAATGACATAGTGCTTCCTTTGGTAGCAGCTACATGTCAAGTGTTCCATAATTCATGATGCTATCAGTTGTCATATTGGAAAATGCAAGTCTTGGTATATTTAACTATAGTAGAAGCTTGCAAGTGATTTAACAGGCAAAATGGGGAGTGTCAGGGTCTGTATGTGAAATTTCCCCCCAAGTTTAGGTGATTGAATGCTCTGTCCCCAGATGGTTGTTGTGAGAAGCCGTGGAATTTTTGGCAAGTGAGGCCTAACCTGGGAGGTCAGTCTTTTATTATTATTATTATTTAAGAAATGAGATAATTTTTTTATTTTGAGATTTTTTTGTTTTCTTGAGAATTTCATGTGAGCACTGTATTTATACCCTTTTCCCCTGTTCTCCTCCCTTCAATTCCTCCTATGTCTCCCTCCCCCACTCCTCGAATTCATAGCCTCTTAGTTTTTATTGTTACATACACACATAGACATGTAGACAGCCCCCCCCTGCTGAGTTCACTTAGTGTTGCTCATTTGTACACGTTTAGATGACAGTTTGGGACTGGATAATCCACTAGGGAGCACATCCCTGGAGAAGACTGACTCTCTGTTACTTGGCGGCCATTTGTTTTTGGAGACATCTCTCTCTCTGTAGCCCTGGCTGTCATGGAACTCACTCTGTAGAACAGGCTGGGATTGAACTCACAGCTATCTGCTCCTTAGTGCTGGGATTAAAGGAGTGCACCACCATGCCTGGTCTAACAGCAGTGGCAGAATGTATTTGTTCTGTGGTGGGGAAGAAGCAGGAAGTGAATGCCTTTGTCTTTCCCATTGCTACCATCACACCCATGACTTCCTCTAGGTTTCGGGGCTTCTGGGCCACATTCTGAGGCAGTTTATGATGGTCAGTGTGTGTGTGTGTGTGTGTGTGTGTGTGTTTTTCCAGTGTCTTCTCAGTCTGTCTTATACTAGCAGGTCCCACTATGATTTAAATAAGGTGTGGGCCTGGCCCTTGCTCAGGTCACATTAAACTGTGAAAATATCTTGCCCAATAAGGAACATGTTCTTAGCAGGGGCCCTGATCCCTTGACAGAGACTGTCCTCTAGGATTGACGAAGAGCCTTGGACCTGATGTCCAGGCCGCTGGTACAAATCTGGACTTGCCTGCCACATGGAGGCAACCCTGTGCATGGAAGACTGGTCCCGGAGAGGAGGACAGAGATTTTAGAAAGTTTAGCATGACTATGAGGTACCTAATATCGCCATGCATGCCTGTGTATCCACTGCTGCAGCTCCCTGGAGAAGACAGCCAATCGTATGCTGTGTATCTAACTGCGCTTACCTGAGTGGACCTACAGCTGTCTTCTTAGCATCACAGATTGCTGTCCATGGGCAGCCCCAAACTACCCCTCTGCACACACTGCTCCCGGGGCCTTCCTGCTGGTGCCTCATCCAGCAGAGCTCTGCCTCTGGTCTTCGTGCCTTGTCTGTGCTGGCTCCTGCCTACAATGTCTTCTACTCTGCCAAGTCTCAGTAAAGATGCGGCATCCTCCGGGAAGCCCTCTTAGATTGCGCTAGGCTACCCCTCTCTACCTACTGTCCTGGAAGCTCCTGCTCAAGGCTTCCTCCCAGCAAGACAGGTATTTACCCCCACAGTGTTCTGTCTTGTCGCCAACCCAGCTAGACCAGAGGGCCAGGATGTCACAGGCATTCTTCCGTGTGACAGCAGCATGGCTGGCTGCACCTGCTAAGCATGCATCAAACAGATCTAGAGCTCTGCTGGCCTCTGTTGGTGTGGGGGTGCTTACCCAGTGAGGCGGCGTGTAAGAGGCAGTTCCCATCCCCGGTTGTGGCCAAAGGAAGAAGCTTTTTACAGCTCGTGCACACAGTCGACCACCAGTTCAGGCGACCTGGAAAGGAAGCTCACTTTAGGACAGATGTTCAGGAAGGCAGAGAACAGGTGTACATGTGTGGGACACAGTCCCAAATACCAGCGAAAGATTTTCTTTTCTCAAGCTATAAAGAGAAAAACAGGTGGGGATCGAGGTAAAATAAGTTTTTCTTCTCCCGAGACCATAGTTTGTCTCAGTGTCTGTACAGTATTTAAGAGAACCAGATGAATGGTGGAGAATAAGGGAACACAGAAGCAGGTAAGATGGGCATGCCTCCTTAAAGGTTGCTAAATCTCAATACTAGTGAGCTTTTTTTTTTTTTTTTTTAAGATTTATTTCTTTATCTGACATATGCGTGCTCTATTTGCATGTATATCTGCATGACAGAAGAGGGCACCAGATCTTATTATAGATGGTTGTGAGCCACCATGTGGTTGCTGGGAATTAAACTCAGGACCTCTGGAAGAGCAGACAGTGCTCTTAACCTCTGAGCCATCTCTCCAGCCCAATACTAGTGAGCTTTGCTAAGGTAGTGCATACACTGTAACACCCAGAAAAAGCATTAAGGAGAATGACCTGTGTTGTGGAAATAAACATGTTTCTGTTTTGGTCCCAGGTGTGGGGTACGGGATTGTTTCAGATGGTCCACAGTAGCAGACTATTTGCTTCACCGCAGAGGCTCTGAGAGGAGCTCTTTGCCAGTTGCAGAGAGTTTAAACCTGAGGACTCTGGAGAGAGAATAAATGCTAGAGCCCAGATAATGTGTGGAGATTAGAGAAAGAACAAGGCTGTTCCTGTTTCCTCCTTGCTGCTCCTGGTTTCGGTTGTGAGACAAGAAGTTGGAGATCTCCTGCAATGAGGATTGGACTGGTCCAAGGAGAATGGTGACCCTAACCAGCAGGGAGCAGCCAAAGGAACTGTGCCCCCTCTCCTACTAACCCTCTCTCTCCTACCTAGTGTTGGAGTATCAGAAGGGATTGGGGTGGAGTAGGGAGAAAAAGGTAAAGGAAACATAAATCAAAGAGTTTTTTTTGAAAGTATTCCAACAGACCTGAGTCACACTCAGACCACTCCTACTTGGGCATGGTTGGCACATGCCTGTAATCAGTGCTGAGGTTGAGACAGGAGTTTATTTGCGGTTATTGTCAGTTGTCCAGTGAGATCTCATTTTAAAGACCAATCAACTATCCAATCAATCAGTCAACTAACCAATACTATGCAATATACTCCTTGACACCAAAGCTTGATGGAGAAGGTATGAAGAAGCATAGGCAGAAATCTCTCACGATTGATGATGCTGCAAAGTTTTCAACATGTAAACAAACAGTCCTCCAAAATAGACACTAAGAATTAAATAGCATGACCATGTGAGGTTGATTCTAAGGATAAAAAGTTGGCTCAATATTTCAAACTTGATTAATTAATATAATCCATCATAATAAACTAGAGAAGAAACAGTTTGCATAACCATAACACAAATGGAGAAAAAATTCACAAAAGTCAATACTCACATCTGCGATTAAGACTAGTAAGTAATAGGGAGGAATTCCCTGCCTCTGACAAGGAACACCTGCAAAGCCCTTGCAGCATTCTGAATGGTGACAGCATAGGTGCTTTCCTTCCAAATGAGGAGAAGCGCAGGATGCCCACACAGTGGTGAGAGAGACACACAGAGAGACAGAGACAGAGAGAGACAGGCAGAGATAGACAGAGACACATACAGAGACAGACAAAGATAACACCGAGAAATAGAGAAAGAAACAAAGGGGAGAGAGGGAGAGGACGGGGGAGAGACACACAGAAACACGGAGAGAAGGGAGGGGAAGAGAGAAGAGGACAGCGTTTCTATTTTCTTTGGTGAACAGGAGCACACTTTTCCTTTCCACACAGCAGACACCATCCCTCTTTATAAGGGACTGCTTTGCTGACAGCTCTCCCCATGGTACAAAACCTTGCTCCCACTCCATTTCTTAAGTCTCTCTGACCAGGCTGTCAGCCTCTAATCCTGTTTGCAGCTAAGTATTTAGTGAAACACCCTTTCTAGGTGAAGCCAGATACACCTAAGGTGCAGTCTTGCTAAACCTCTTCTCCCTCCAGATTTTGCTGATGATCCCAGGGATCAGGCTATTCAAACATGTTTCCCTGTGGGAAATTCTTTATCTGAATCTCAGCATCTTAGCATGTCTGGTTGCTTGTACGGTAAGACTCTGACTGTCTCCTCACTGGGCAAGGCAGGCAGAGCCTCCATTAGCCCTTCTTGATTTTGGGAGCGGGAGACTGCCAGTACATTATTTTTGGTAGTAATCCAATTTGTGTCGCTGCAACAAATCTGACCCTGTTGAAATGTATGGATGGATTCACTTTGCTAAATATTTTGTGCATAATTATGTCATGATTATTCATGAGTGACACCCCTGGGCCTATCACTTGTCAAATGGAAATGTGAAATACATCCAAGAATACTGCTAGCTAACTTCCAGAGGCATCTTGGGATTGGCCTCCTATAAAAAGTCTCCTTTTACTATTTTTCCTACTGCAGATACTTGAATGTTCATGTTTCATGTTTATTGCTGCTCTATTCACAAAGCAAGAAAATGTATTCAGCTTAAATGCCCATCATCTATCTCTGTAGTGGGGATGGAGGATGGCCAACTCAAACTAAGAATTATGAAAATACCATAAGGAAATCTGCTACTTCATATGCCAATTACAATAAAATAAAGTACAGAGTCCTGCATATATATATATATATATATATATATATATATATATATATATATATATATATATAATGGGTTTCATTTTAAGTGTGTGATCATTTCCATCTTCCTTATAAGTATTTTCAATATAAAATAAAATGATAATATGCTAAAAGATAAATTAAAAGCTAAATAGCTAGATAGTTATTATGTTTAAATAATATGAAAAAACTTACACTGCAATAAATCAAGCAACCAGATTTAGCACCCCAAAACCATTAAGTAGTGGTAAGTTGTCAAGTGGATTTTATTGGAGCTATTTTGGGTTCTGTGTAAATTTCCATGCAGAGAGTAACCCTTCACCCTTCCTATGAAGACCCTCATTTAAGAGAAATGTTTTCCTATGCCAGAGTGAGAGAGGAATGCTATGCAGAAACCAAGAAGAACCTAAGTGCTAGGTTTTTTTCAGGTAGTCCACTATTTGGTCCAGAGCTTTTATCTATTTATATGTCTTCATGGCAGTCCATACTTCAAATAACATGAGCATGAAAGGAGAAAGCTCTTCTGAATCTTCTAAGTCTTCCTTTATGAAGACTCCAGTGTCACATATAGCTTTTATTAATTAAATCATCTACGATTTTTTTTTCTCAAAAAAAAAAAGTCTCCTTTTAGGGAGACTTTATTCACCATGCCGCTGCCCAGTGTGGAACTGTTTACTGTGTGAGTCTCTCAATAAAGTTTCCTAAATGTTGGGCTTGGTTCACTGATGCCTCTGCTGAGCTGAAACCTAGTGTGTCCACTGAGCTTTGGGAGCCCTTATGCTCTAATGTTTACTCCACAGAACCCAAAATGAGCCTCGTTATCCAGTCTCTGAGTAGGACTCAAGGATGCTCCCATAGGTCCGGCTAATGTGTCCTTGATGAAGCTGCTTCTCTTCGTCGTGATCCTGGGCTGCTGTCAATGATGTCAATGATACATACCCTGGTAGGTTCAATAGAACGGTACCTCTCTGTTGCTAATGTGATGTCTGGGCCACTCATATTGTAGTGCATGGCAGTGTTTGTCTCGGAGGAGACTGACTGATATTGAGTGGCTTACAGTGCCTGCACCTCTCAGATGGCACCACGGCCACCTGCATCCACAGCGGGTGCACGTGGAGGCATTCCCACCATCACAGGGAACAGAGAATAAAGGGCTCCAAGGTAGTTCTTATGCAGAGGTGGCCACTGTGTGCCATACACATCTGACTGCTGTCACAGAAGAGGGTGATGCGGTGCTAGGAGCTCCTACTCGTAGCAGACAGCCGATCAGGATGCTCGGCACCACCTCCCAGACGATGACCTTTTCAGGAGGCAGAGCTGCAGTTACGGTCCAACCAGCCAACTCTGGCCACGTTATTATGACATTTACAACTAATCCATGTAACTCACCACAACTTACTCATTGGTTCACTAAGCTGGGCGAAAACTCACACGACAGCTTTGTCTAAATGTTATACTTATATGAAAACTAAAACGCATAACTTTCTGTTTAAGACTGGTAAAACTGTCCTTTGGGGTGCTCAAAAGCCAAAGTTTGTAGAGCCACCAAGAATAAAGTGGTAAAAGGAAAGCCAATACTTTGGCTCTTGTCCTCCAAGGTTACGATGTGGGGGATGATGAGGCCTCTATAAAATAAAAGGACCCTAAATTCCATTGAGTGACTTGTCCTTTGATCAGAGAGACCATGGAGACCCCAGGGAACAGAACCTAACCTGTGAGCATCCTACCAAGAGTTGCTAATGGGTGAAAAGTCCCCTCTTTGCAAGGGAAGCCATAGGGTCAGCAAGATGCAGCAGATGGCACATAAGGCAGAGAAAACAAGTAAACAAAAGTGCAACTTGTGAATCTCAAAGACGCCACTGACCTTAGTAACTACGGCTATGTCTTAAATACCCAGCGGGAAGGTTTAATCAGAAGTAATTAGTAATATCACAAAAGAAAACTCCATCAGCTCCCTGCCAGCTTCTCATCTGGATCCGGTTCAGCAGCAAACTCTCGAGAATTGCTTGCTAACTTGGTTCACCTATTTAAGACAAAATACCATTCCCCCCCCCAAAAAAAAAACTGCTCAAGGTGAAACATAAAAAGCATAAATTATCGTAATCAGTCAATTAAAGACACATAGATGTGTTTCTTCAAAAGGGACCCTAAGGCAGCCATGATCCACACCCCTTGATATTGGAATTATCCTCATGGGAGGTGTCCTGACAACATGTACTCACTCTTACTCATGTCCCACTGGGAAACCCCTTTCTTGACTGCTGGAAAAATCTTTTCA